CCCGACATACTGGGTGGAGGGAATTAACCCCCCCGACATACTGGGTGGAGGGAATTAACCCCCCGACATACTGGGTGGAGGGAATTAACCCCCCGACATATACTGTAATCTGCTGGAGCAGCAGTTTCTGCAGCAGCTACAGTTATTAATACGAAATTACGAATAAAGCAAATAATGGATCCATCATGTCTTCTAGATAAACAGAAAATACCAAAAAGTTGAGATTGACAGCAAGTAACATTAACATAACACGGATTTTCTTTCTATTTAAAAAGTTTCCCCAAATAGACGTAAAAGAAAATGAATCATTGATTGAAAATGTTTAAACTTTAAATATTTCACTAAACCCATCAGATATTTGTATTTTACTATTTATCCCCATTATTCCCGATAGTCGGAATCGTAATTAGTACGAATAAGCTTCACACCTCATGGTGCTTTTACTTCTACAGCCGGCTCTTCCTTCACCTGTTGATTAACAGTTTTACCAGGTGAGGGTGGGGTTTTGACGAATTTTTTGTGGGGTTTTGACGATTTTCTTGTGGGACGATTTTCTTGCTGATTACTCTAACACAATCACAACCTAGGAGAACTCCACTCCAGACGCAGTAATCAATCACCATTGATTAATCGACGGGGGGGTTTGACGATTTTTTTGTGGGGTTTGACGATTTTCTTGTGGGATTTTGACGATTTTCTTGCTGATTACTCTAACACAATCACAACCTAGGAGACCTCCACTCCAGACGCAGTAATCAATCACCATTGGTTAATCCACGGGTTACAATTACACGGGAAAACTAACTTCTTATACACCAATCATTTGCGATTTGGCCTATATGAACCCTTTCTCTTGTCTCTCTTCTTTTCGCCTATGGACCTGAGGAGACCAGATCGGCGTGTGGATGTCGGAAATCGTACTCACATAGAGATATCCAGCTCTCATCGAGAAAAAAAACTGGACGCATGGTCCAGAAAGTGGTGGTTTTGTTGAAAGGAAGCCATTGAAGGGGGTTGTTGGGTAGATGGGCTATGATTTGATTGGAGGCAGAAATGGCAGATCGTGGCTCGGTTGCAGGCTGCGAGAAGACGAAGTTCCCACTATTCCATCGCAGTGAAAATCCCTTTAGATCAATTGAATAGCTTCTTCGGGATAAAGAAGCTTGTAGGCACGTGTAGACACGTGTAGGTGGCGATGTGACATGAGGTTGCAGGCTGTGAGAAGATCGAGTCTGCAAGCCAGGCTCTGGTTCCGGTGTAGACTGAGGATAACGCCATGCTCTGACTCCAGGATGAAGCTCAGAACGTGGCTCAAATGTGAGGTAACAAGCGGTCAAACGAGCAAACGAGAGCAAACGAGAGGAGCGAGCGAGAG